TCCAGAGGCTGGCAGGCCAGGCTCCCCTAGGGCCTTCTGAGGGAACGCAGCCCTGCTGATGCTGGTTTTAGCCCCAGGAGACTCACATCAAACTTCTAACCAACAGAACTATAAGGTAATAAACTTGTGCTGTTTTAAGCCACCAAGTCTGCGGTCATTTATTTCAGCAGCAACAGAAAACAAATATATCCTATCCCAAAGCAGGGCCGAGGTTCATGTTATGGGTTCAAGGTCACACGGCTAGGAAGTGATGAAATCGGGGATTGAGTGGGCTTCCCTGGCTTGGCCCTGCCCTGAACCATTTTTTCTCTGTCCACGGCCCCCTCCTCTCCATAAGCCAGCCTTGCAGGCAATGTGGCTGGGGGCGGGTCTGTGCTGGCCATCAGAAGTCTGTACAAGGACATTGTCTAGGGCTCCAGGGACTCAGGCTGTGGTGTAAGCCTAGTACCCCAGGGTCTTCACAGAAAGCGGCCCGGGGTCGCCACCAGCCTCATCTTGAGCCACGCCCCTGGCCATTTCTCTGTCCTTGGCAAACCAAGCTCTCGCCTCTTTAGGCGCTTCATGCTTGCTATTCCCTGCACCTGGAATATTGTTCCCAGGGCTGCTGCCTCCTCCTCATTCCCGTCCCAGCTTAAATGTCACCTCCTCTGAGAAGGCTTCTCTCCCCATCTCAGCCACCAGTGTCCTCTCTGACGCCCACCCCCCAACCTGTGTCCTGGGGTTTACAACCTTCACGACATTCAAGGTCTTCTATGGGACCATCCTCACATCCTCCCTGAATTCCTAAGCTGACCCAGCCCTTCCCTTTTCTAGTTACGGAAAAACAATGTCTACCCTTCTCTGTGCCACTCCTTCAATGCCTCTCGCTCATGAGGACAAACGGGGTGGGAGAGAACGGCGGGGGGGGGGCATCAGGGCTTAACCCACCATTCCTCCCTCTTCCAGCCACTCTGCCTCTCAGGGCACACAGCCTCCTCCCCACGCTGATGCCATCAGAGGTCCAGCTCTGCCGACATCTGGAGTAGGGTCTGTCTGCTTCGGGGACAGAGATGAAGAGCCACCAACCCGGTCTGACCAGTTGGAAAGGTGCTAATTTGTCCTCCTATCAGTCTCACGCCCATCTCATTTGTCTCACAATTTAAAAGGGAAGACAGGAGGGGTAGAGGGTACTTACTGGCTCCTCAAAGCCCAACTGTCACATTGTAACTTTATGTGGTTTATTTATGTAGCCCGGTGGTTACATAAGAGCTCAGGCTCTGGGCTCAGGCTGCTGGAGACTGGATTCCACTCTACCCCTTCCTAGCTGTGTGATCTTGGGCAAGTTACTTGACCTCTCTGTGCTTCAGTGTTCCCATCTGTAAAACACGCACAGTGATAGGACTATCCTCGGGGTTGTGGTGAGGATGAAATAGGGCTACATGTAAAGCTCTCGGAATAGTGCTTGGCATGTGTTAATAAGAACTCAAGAGATACTGGCAATTCTTATTATTTGTGTTTCTGCACTTAATGTCTGTTTTCCCTGTTGGGCTGAAGGGCCACAGGAGAAAGGGCTGGGCCCATCCATCTCAGCACAGTGCCTAGGGCATGCTAGGTGCCCAGGAAGGGAATGAATGAACAGCCCAGAAACAAGCACATTGTCCCAGGCTCCTGCTGATTTGACTGGTCTGGAATGAAAGCTCGGGATTAGTTCAGAACTCCAACCCCACATAGCCCCCCCCCCCCCCCCCGCTCCTCTCAGCAGGTGTCTGAGGGCCCACCAAGAAATATGATGGTTAAAAACTATAAAATGTTGGGGCCAGCCGAGTGGCTCAGCTGGTTAAGAGTGAGAGCTCTGAGCAACAGGGTTGCCAGTTCGATTTCCACATGGGCCAGTGAGCTGCGCCTGAGCTGAGTGGCCGCAAGCTGCCCATGGGCGGCCGGATGGCGACTGGACTTGGAGCTAAGCTAGCTGTGCCCTCCACAACTAAGACTGAAGGTCAACAACTTGGCTATTCCCCTTTCCCAGTTCCCCAATAAAAGCTTTAAAAAACAAAAACAAGGGCCAGTCAAGTGGCTCGCTGGTTGAAGAGTTGGCTTGGGAGCGTGAGCTCTGAGCAGCAGGGCTGACGGTTCGGATCCCACATGGGCCAGTGACACTGTGCCCTCTACAGCTAAGATGGTGAACAACAGCTCAACCTGGAGCTGGGCTGCCATGAGTCGCTGGCGATGGTGTAGGCTGCAGTGTGGCTGCTGAAAGCTGCCGTGAGTGGCCGGCAGCCATCATGAGCAGCCGACAGCCGGTGTGAGCTGCCGTGAGCCGCCGTGAGTGGCCATCCTATGGCCGACAACCAATCTGCCTCACCCAGGAAGAGCACAATACCAACATGGGCCAATGAAGCAACGTCCTCCACGACTAGTCTGAAGAACAAAAGGAGAGCAACTTGTCTGTTCCCCTTCCCTGATTCCCCAACGCTGTTCCCTCCCCCAATTCCCCAATAAAATCTTTAAAAAAACAACTGTAAAATGTCAAGAAAGTAAACTCCTTTGTTTTCATTGTAGGTCCCAGCAAAACTCTCAAACTGGGTCTGGGGTCCCACTGTCCTTCTGTGGTCTGGTTCTTAACACCCACAGGTGACTGTCATACCCCCTGTTCCCAGGGTGGGGGCTTAGCCAACCTCCGGACAGCTCTCCCCACCTCACTACCTCCTGAAGACAACATAACCCACTGCAGCATATATCCTCGCAGAACCCCGGGTCTCACACAGAAGCATATGGATGTCGCGCTAACCACCAAACGCCTTAGCAGGTGGGCACAACTCCTTTGTGCATTTGACAAAGATTCCCTGAGTGGCCTGCGTGTGCCAGGTGAGTGCTGCGTGCTGGGGACGCAACAGGGAGTGAGAGCTAGCTGTGCGCAGGCCAGAGGGGGTCAGCGAGACCGGCGCCGTGATGACACTGTGGGAATAGTGGGCCGTGTTGGGAGCACGAAGAAGGCACCTCAGAGGAAGCAGTCTCGGCACTGAGTCTTGAGGGGAAAGCAGGGAGCCAGGTTTCAGGGTTCAGAGCGGAGAAGAAAGGAAAAGTGGTGATTTATGCCCAGGGAACAGCCCTAGCAAGGGTTTGGGGGTGAGAGAGAACCGCCTGAGAGACATGAGAGCACGTCTGAAGGACAAATGTTCTCTCTGAGGACATCAACCATTCCGGGGGTGGCTGCCTGTTGCTACATCCCCTCAAAACTCGTATGTTCAAGCCCTAACCCCCAGGACCTCCGAGTGTGACTGTAATTGGAGATCGGGTCTCTGAAGAGGTAATTAAGGTAAAACGAGTCAATTACGGTGCACACTAATCCAATCTGACTGGTGTCCTTATAAGAAGAGGAAATTGGGCCATAGACACACATACGTAGGGAAAACCATGTGAAGACGCCATGTACACGCCAAGGAGAGGCCTCAAAGGAAACCAGCCCTGCCGACACGGCGACCTTGGTCTTGTAGCCTCTAGGACTGTGGGGAACTAAGTTGCTGGTGTTGACACCACCCCTGGTCTGTGGTGCTTTGTTATGGCAGCCCCCCAAAGACTAATAATACACTCACTCATGATTTCAAACAGTCCCTCATTTCTCTTTCCCTAGGTTTCACTCACATTTCCAAGCTGGCTGGTCTGGATATCTGGCTCAGGAAACACAACACACTCAGCTTTGAGAAGAATGCACTCAGAATGGAGCAGGGGCGGGGCTGGGGGGGGCGCGGGAAGGAGAGGCCAGCCAGCTTGGGGGGGGTGGCGAGAATTGCTACAAGTAGGCCCTCCCACCTCCTATCATTTTTTTTTTTTCTCTACTTTCCAGGTAGAAAACTCTCTTCGGGGGACAGCTGTGGTTTCTGCTTTCCCAGCATGCTTTCTGCCTCCTCCAGCTCTGCCTTGATTTTCCTTTGGAAACCGCTATCCATCCACAGTGGTCTGGGCAGCAATAACCACACCCACAATCCTATTGGCTGGGCCTGGCCAATCAGAGCCATGGTGACTAGTTCAGAGCCGGGGCCCAGTGTGGGTCCCAGAGACAGGCCTGGGACTTCTGTTGGGGCCATTAGGGAGAGAAATCTACTTTCTGCTGGAGCTGCAAAGCCAAGTCTCAATGCTGGGCCTGTGTGGGGCGCCTACCTGAGAATGGTACCAAGACGAGACAAAAGAAAACAGAAATAAGAGGGAGGAAAAGAAAGAGAAGAGAAGGGAAGGGCAAGGGAGGTGAGGGCAGGGGAGGGAAAGGAAAAGGGGGGGGAGGGGAAGGGAAGGAGAGGAGAGGAGGGAAGCTAGCCTCACTAAGCCCTGGACTCCTCAGCTATCCCAAGCCAACACACAGTCCCTCTTTCTCACACCAGTTGACAAGCAGGGGCTGCTACACCTCCTACGATGCATAGGCCTCTTTAACAGACATTTCCCACCTGGAATTTCTGGGTCATCAGAGGCCTTTGGGAGCCTCTGCCTCCTGCGATCAACAGAGACCTGACTGGTACACCTCCCTGGCCTGTGAGATGGTCAACCCAAAGCTGAAGTTCAAATACCACTGGAAACTTAAGTCCGACTGTTAGATTCAGAGACATCAAAGCGAAAGAAATGCCACGTAAGACAGCTCACCTTTGGAAGCCGGGTTAAATTCCAGCACCACGAGGGTGTCCAGGCCCTGGGAAGGACGTCCTTCTGTCCCCTGGTCCTCAGGAATGTCCTTCTGCACTGAGTCCTCCCTGGGAAGAGCAGGGTCACGCCTGGGGTGGTCCACCAGCGCCTGGTCCTCAAGCTCAGGCTCCGAGAGTATGGCTTCTTCAATGGAGTCATACTCATCACTGGAACAATCCTTTTGTTTCCTCTGCAGACTGACACTGAGTTCCAGGCTTTTTCTCAGCTCCTGCCAACGGTCAAGAAAAGGGAAAACAATGTTACATGAAGAAACACTTCTTAGAGGGGCCGGCCGAGTGGCTCAGTTGGTTAAGAGCTCACTCAAGAGTTTGAGCTCTGAGCAACAGCGGTTCGAGTCCAGCCCGAGCTGAGCAGCTGCTGAGCTGCCAATAGGTAGCAGGATGAATCAGCTAAAAAAAAACAAAACAAAAAGAAAAACAAAAAAAAACACTTATTAGAAAATAGATCGTTAGAACCAAAGAACTATTCCTGCCAAACCAACATTTACCAAAATCGTCTCAAGCCAGGTGTCATCACTTTGACAATGAGAAACCAAACAAAGGGCAGGGCAAACGAGCAATTGTCCAGACAGACTAATATTTACAATATTAACTGTGGTGTTCACATGCCTGGAATGCCACTAAGAGTGTGTGTGTGTGTGTGTGTGTAAGAGAGAGAGACAGAGAGAGAGGGAGAGAGATGTTTTGTTTTGGGGGGCCTGTTAAAACAGATTGCAGGGTCCCACCCCAAGGGTTTCTGACTCAGTGGGTTATGAATGGGGCCCAAGAATGTGCGTTTCCAACAAGGTGATGCTGACGCTGCTCGTCCAAGCACCACACTTGGAAAATGGAATCCCAAAGGCCTCCCAACGACCTTGAAATTCCAAATGGGAAAATGTCTGGCGGACAGTTGTGGGGGCTGTCCTGTGTACTGAAGCACCTAAATGTCAGAACAGTTAGCACTTAACTGTTTGACAATTTTTTCACATGCGTTTTGTCTCCATGAGGTTGTACATTTACAATCTTAAGGCCAAGCATTGAGATCTAAGAGGGACCAGAAACTGTATCACCAAAGCCAGGATATTTGTGAAAAAAGAACAGCAGCACATTTATACTGGGACAAAAAGTATGAAGTGGACTGTCTGGGCAACCCAGTATGTTTGGTCAGCCTAGCTGTACTACCCCGGTCGTATCTAGCATGAGAAAAGGACACAATCAATGAAGGTTTGGAGGTTGACCAGTGTTGTATTAATAGTAGGCTGATAATGACTCCCCCAAATGTCCAAGTCCTCACCCCTAGGCCGTGAATCAGTGAGGGCTCATGAAGAAGTGAGAAACACTGTATAGAAAAATCTGATCATCTCAGAGAAATCATCCTAAAAAGACCAATGACAAAAAACATATATACCCTGTTTTCCCGAAAATAAGACGGACAATAAGTGGTAGCATGATTTTAGGTGCCAAAATATGGCACCTTGACATACTGAATATTTTAAGCTGAAGGAGTTTGTGGAAAAGGCACCCTTCTCCCTGAAATAGGTAATAAAACCCTCATGTGAGGGGTGTGTGCCCTCCGTATCCAGGAGGAATCATGCTATGGCTTATTCTTCTGCTATGTCTTATTTTCGAGGAAACACGGTATATGGATGAATATGAAAGGCGCTGCTGGGGAGGAAGTAAGGAACATGTTATTGGAAACTAGAGCAGAGGGAATCCTGTTATATGGTGGCAGAATCTTAGTTGAATTGGGTGCTGCAGTTATGTGGGAAGTAGAATTTGTAAATGATGGACTTGGATATTTCACTGAAGAGATTTCCAAGCAAAATGTTAAGTGCAAGCTGACTTCTTGCTGCTTAGAATAAAATGTGAGAGGACAGAGAAAGAGTGAAGGAAGAGCTGTTAAGTAAAAAGGAACGGGGATTGGGTCATTTGGGAAACTCTCAGTCTATCCAGGTTGCAAACAACATTATAATTAGGAGATGCCCTGTCAGAGAGGCATGCTCGGAGAGGAAACCAAGGGTGTAGCTGGACAATCTTTTGCTAGCTCAAAGGCTAGAGTTTTCAATCACATCAGGGGCTCTTAAAGATTAGACATGTGGCTCATGGGTCCCCTTAGACGTCTCAGCAGAAGCCAAGAACAGAGATGGGATTATCCAGGAAAGACCTGTTGAAGGAGCCTCTTAGTTCATGGAGTGAACGCTAGAGACATATATAGGAGACCCACATCGTTTTTGAGAATGTCACACCAGCAGAAACACCACAAGCTTGAACTGAATGGGAGTGAGAAAAGATGAAATTAAAGAAGGCTGTCAGACTCGCAAAATTCTACAGGCAGGAAACAGGTTTATAAAACTGTTTAGCTGCAAACACATGACCAAGGGTGGAGCCATCGGCTCAGAGGCTGGAGCCCTGAGCCACGGAGAATTATTCCCGGGGCCCTGAAACCTAATGGAGTTTGCCCAGGTCGACTTCAACATTGCTTGGTTTTGGTGACTGGTTTTTTTTCTTTCATTTTCTCCCCAGTTGTAATGGGAATGTCTGTAATTTTTATTCTGTGCCTCACCTACCACTGTATTTAGAAGCAGAGAACTTGTTTTTTAGGTTCGTCAAGTCCACAGGAGGGGAGGAATTTTGCCCTAAAATGGGCTATATCCAGAGTCTCACCTGAGCCAATTTAAATGATACAGATGATGAGATGGGAGGACTTTGAGCAGATTAGACTTAGACAATATTTTGGACTTGAGTTGATACTGTCATAGGTTGAGACTGGGGAAACTTGGGATGGGATGGATGTATTACATGTGGGACAGACATAAATCTTTGGGGGTCAGAGGGCTGACTATTGTAGGCTGAATAAAGAGCCCCCAAAGATGTCCACGTTTTCATCTCTGGGACCTGTGAATGTCACCTTATGTGGCAAGGGAACTTTGCAGATGTAATTAAGTTAAGGATTTTGAGATGAGGGAGATTATCCTAGATTATCCAGAGGGCCCCAATGTAATCACAGCATGTTTGTAAGAGGGAGGCAGAAAGATCAGAATCAGAAAGAGAAGATTTAAGGATGGAAGCAGAGACCAGGGAGGAGAAAAGGTGTTCCATTGCTGGCTTTGAAGGAGGAGAAAGGGATTCTCATCTGGAACCTCCAGAAAACACACACGTTGGCCGACATCTTGATTTTAGACCAGGGAAACTGGATTTGGACTTCTGACCTCCAGAACTGTAAGACAAGCCACTAAGTTTGTGGGAAGTTGTTATAGCAGCAATAGGAAACTAATGGAGCCATCTACCTGTTACACTCCCTCCCTCCCGCCCTGCCCAACACCAAGTATCAGTGATATTTACTGAGCAAATAGAACATGCCTGGCACAGAGTAGGTGACTGACAAATATCTTCTGAATGACTATTTTACTTCGGTGTAAGGAGGGGTGGAGAGCACCCACAGGCCTTAAAGGTGGCCTTAGCGATGTAACCCTTAGCAAGTTACTTAAGCCCTCTGACCTGCAGTTTGACACCAATAAAAATGGGTTTGCAGATCCCTGCCTCATGGAAATGTTTTATAAATGGTCTGATTGGGGATGGTTTCGCCCCCCATGGGATATTTGGTGAGGACTGGAAATGTTTTTGGTCACAACTAGGTGAAGGCAGCGCTAGTGGCCTCTAGTAGGTAGAGGCCAGGGAGGCTGCTAAACACCCTAGAATGTACAGGACGGTCCCCCAGAACAAAGAATGATTTGGTGAGGCTGAAAAACCCCATATTCAGGTGAATCAATGGCACTTAAAAAGATAATAACCAGGTGTTCAGATGGAGTGTACGAAGGTGGTCCCTGCTCCCTTCATGGAAACTGACTGAGACCATGGCTCCTGCATCTGGAGTCTGACTCTGGTGGGTAGTTGGGGGTCAGGAGATGCACTGCTTCCTCCACGGGAAAGCATGACTCCCGGGTGGGCTGCTATTTCATAGCGGTGTCAGTGATGATAAAACTAGCATCCTGTGCAGCGGAACAATGCTCTGTACTTTACAAAACATTTTCAGCTCCTTCTCTCATTTGATCCTCACCATAGCCCGACAGAGAGGTAGGTAGAGTGAAACCCTTGATAACATACTATCAATTTTTTTTCAAATTTTATTGGGGAGCAGCCATGGTCATTGGTTACACATTACTTTCATGCTACAATGGCATAGTTCACTCTTTTAAGGAGGGCACAGCTCACAGTGGCCCATGTGGGGATCGAACCGGCAACCTGGGTATTATCAGCACCACGCTCTAACCAACTAAGCTAGCCAGTCACCCCAACGTGCTATCAAGTTAAAACAGGATAGGCAACTGGCTCCTGTTTTTGGCCCAACACCCCGTCTCAAATGGGGTCAGCTTCAGGTGTGCATTCTGCAGGGGTGGAGACAAGGCCAGGAAAGAAAGCGGTTGGCAGACCCCTGTCTGCATCCCCAGTCTTTTTGCCCAGTCATTGTGGATCAAAACAATAAAACGGGTGCTGGCCAGCTCGGAAGCTCCTGGCTGGGAGAATGCTCTCACCATCCAGGAAATCCCTGCCAGTCCCAGGGCCCAGGATCACCTCCACGGATGTCTGAGGCAGTGTGGAGCCATGCCACAGATGGCTCCAGGAAGGACTCAAATGGGGCGGGAGGATTCTCAAACCACGGTCAGCTGAGCAGGCTCCTCCCAGCCTCCTCATTACCTTCACAGCATTGCAACCCCACATTTTAAGTGACTGAAGTTTTGGAGTCCCCAGAAATTGGAAAACCGAGACCTAAAGCCCTGAGGCGGCCCAAATTTTTACAGGGATTAAATGGCAGAGTTGTAACGTGTGCCCTTGCAGCTGCTCCCAGCTCCTTCTAGGTTATCCAAGTGTTAAAGACTCTCTTGCCTTCTGCCAGGGTCCAGCCAACGGGGAGGACGACGTGGCTACAACTCCTGGTAATTTATTCATGTGTGCAGGCGTGCTAAGAGTGTGCTAAGGGCTGCATGGAGGGTTGAGGGGACAGTAGGGAGTCGAATGGCACAGCCTCAGATGCTTGCTGCATAAAGAAAAATGGGAATTCCCGATGTGAAGGAAAGGACCCACCTGGATGATGGGATGGAGGGTGGGTGGGCTGAGGGCGCCCCTGAGGAGAGCTGCTCAGGGAGGCTGGGAGAGGAAGAGCCGCCCAGCGAGTGTCTGGGGCGCAGAGCATCAGGCAAGGGGAGCAGGAGAGGTGAAGGCCAGGAGGTGG